GGGGGGGGGGGGCGACCAAAGCAGATGTACAAACAGCCTGGACAATAGCACAGGAAGGGGAGGGGGTGGAAAAAGGGTAAAGGGGGGATAAACGTGATGGAAGGAGACGTGACTTGGGGTGGTGAGCACTCAGTATAGTGCACAGATGGTGTGTTGTGGAGCTGTGCACCTGAAACCTGTATAATTTTGTTAACCAATATCACCCCAATAAATTCAATAAAAGGGGAAAAATCAGCACATGAAAAAACACATCATTCCTCACCAGGGAAATACAAACCAAACACTATGAAAATGATTGATACCCACTTAGGATTACTTTTTATTCTTTTTTAAAATATATATATATACACATACATATGTATCTATATATTATTGATTGATTTGAGAGAGAGAAAGGAACATCAATTTCTCACCCCATTCTTTGATTGTTTCTTGTATGTGCCCTGACCGGGGATGGAACCTGTAGCCTTGGTGTATCAGGAACCACGCTCCAACTAACTGAGATACCCAGTCAGGGCCCATTCTTATTTTTAAAAGCTGCACGTGTCCGGCTGGCACGGCTCAATAGTTAAGCATCAACCTCTGAACCAGGAGCTCACGGTTCAATTCCCAGTCAGAGCACATGCCTGGATTGCTGGCTCAGTCCCCAGTAGGGGGCATCCGATCAATTACTCTCTCATCATTGATGTTTCTATTTTTCTTGTCCTCTCTGAAATCAATAAAAACATATTTAAAGAAAAAAAAAGCTGCACAGAATGTAAATTGATAATAATAATAATAATAAAAATAAAAATAATAATAAAGCTGCACCCAGAGGTTAAAAGAGGAGTTCGTCAGTGTCTTGAACACGAAGAGGGCTGGGTGGAGCAGGGCAGTCCTTATCATGGGGGATGGGACTAGGTCAGGGTGCGGCCAGCATGGAGAGCAGGGCTGGGGGGAATTCTGCCTCAGTTGCCCACCCAGGCCAGCCAGGAAGTGTTTTTCAGACCAGAAGCCAAGGACAGAGCTCTGGAATGGAAAACAATCTAACTAGACACAATTCACAATCTCTGGGAGGTACAGGAGCCAGAAGCACAGTGACTGAGACCTCATACAGTGGGAGGCCATTGGTATTAACTGTGCAGCACAGGCAAATCTATATCGACCTTGGGTTAGCTGTTGCCTAGAACAGGGGAGGGGGCAGGGGATCCCAGTGAATGGTCGGGTCTCACTGGAGATGATGGAAATGTTCTAAAAATGGAGGGTGCTGCCCTGGCCGCTGTGTCCCAGTGGTTAGAACGGTTAGAGCGTGGGCCCTGCACACTGAAGGGTTTCAGGTTGGATTCCTGGTCAAGGGCACATACCTGGGTTGCAAGTTTGATCCCCAGCCTGGTCGGGGCACATGCAGGAGGCAGCCAATGTGTCTCTCTCACATCAATGTTTCTCTCTCTCCCCCTCGCTACCCCCCCATTCCATTCTTTCTAAAAAAAAAAAAAAAAAAAA